CCCCTGGAATGACCTGTTCTCCTCGAAACTCTTTTAAAAAGAATTATTGGGTGTATTTTTTCACTTAATGTTCAGAATCCTTAATCTGCCATTTGTGCAGTTTTTTGTTTTTGTTTTAATTGTATTTGGCATCTTTAAATCGGATTAAGAGAAAAGTGTCCACACATAATATCTGTCATTAGTTTTCATCATTTGCACATTTTCTTATTTATGCAGCCAATATCTTGTGTCATATGTGTCTTTAACAGTTGGCTCGTGTTTATATATTTGAATAAAATGTTCTGCTGTTTCTCTGCTACACTGGTCTTTAATGCTCACTTTGATGAAAAACACAAACAGAATAAAGAAGCATTGAAAGAACTGGTTTATTTTCAGGGCTGAGGTCAGCAGTTGTTAGAGATGTTAGCTCTTGGAGCTTCATGCTGAGCTGAAGTTCTTGTGCTTTGTAGAGCAGCCCCTGTCTGGAGACGCCTGTGAAGCAAAGATAAGTGCATTGTGTTTGTATTTGGACACACCTGAGTCCAGACAAAGACACACTCCTCCCAGGGTCAGTGGATTAGGGTTGGAGTCGCAGTTTTAGAAGTATTAGGTTTCTCTGAGCTGATGATACATTTGCAGTTCATAGCTTTACCTGTGTGTCAGCTGATGCGAATAGAGCGCCTCTGTTTGTCGACCCACATCGTGATTCCATTTCCTGCTTCCTCCGTCTCTAAGTTTGCCTCTTTCCTGTAAAAGAACATACAAATAATGTTAACACAGTTGAACTACCTGATGCACCACTGCCAAAACATCACAAACACCCGCCTGTGGTCTTCAGAGACGGTCTCCTTCTGGTACAAAATCTGGTTCTTGCTCCAGAAGCAGTTCTTGTGGTGATCGTAGACCGCGTTTAGCTGAAGGTCGAGGCTGTCGTCTGGAGTCTGTGGTCGAGTACAGATCAGTCGTTCAAAGTAGAGATACTTCAGCCTTTCTGTGCTTTCACAAGTGAATGCTGACAACATACCTGTGTACAGTTCAAAATACTCCGCTGGGTGCTGGACACAGTGGCTGTGTCGTGGAGGCGACTCCAGGGTTCCTCAGTCTGGGCGATGTGAGTTGGTTTATTGTATGTTTTTTTCTGCAGGATAAGAAATAAGACTAATTCTAAATTTCCAAAGAAACGATACGCATAGATTCCAAATTTCAAACTTATTTGCATTTTTAAGCATAGAACGACATCCATGCAGAATGAATCTTACAAATAGTTTTTATAATTCTTATTTGTTTAAGTTCAATTTTTTAATAACTTCATTAGATAACAATAACTAAGTGCACTAGGTAACATGCTTTGAAATGTTTTACAGTGTATTTTTAAATACTGCATACCTAGATTTAATTTACTTCATTTATCAGTTACCTACATATCAAGTGACATTATGAGGATTAGGTACCCGTGTCCAAATCTACTTTTCAGTCCTTAATTATTTATCACAGTGTTAAGCAGTGGTTATACATAATTTCAGCAGGGGAATACTAGGACTGTGTGAGTCCCCCTGTGCCACCGTGTTCCCCGGTAAGTTAAAACAAAACAAAACATGTCATTAATATTTTAAAATGACAATAAAAGTAACAAAGGAGCCAAATAATCTAATCAAGATATTTATTTGCTCCTCTGGCTCTGTACTTCTGTTCATTTCACTTTTAAAAAATAGATAAATAGATACTACAATTCTGATGTTGAAATTAAATATTTTATGTTAGTTAGTTAGTTACTAAAAAATCTATGTGTGAGATGTAAACAGAGATCCAAATTTGAGGAGTAAATGTGACCTTCCCATGAAAACAATTAGGTCCAAAAGAAAACACTAGTTGT